TAAAATTTGAGAATTAGTCATGGCTACATATTTTTGGCCAGCACTGTATTAGACACACCACAACTACTTAGAATATTTTTAGCGTGAGTTTTCATTTAGGTCATTAGTCAGGGCTTTGCTGAATCTTGAAATTTTGCAGCTCGCGATCTATTGGATTGAACCTGTGCCAAGCCAAAGCACATTGCATCATAATACCTGCAATGATGCCTGGCAAAGAATTCTAGATTTATGTCGATGTTTGTAAGCACCCATATCTTCTGCCCAAACAGCGTCGGGGTATGACGCACTAGCAAATACCCAGCACTGATCAACGAAGCCACGATCACCCCAAACGTAAATGCTCGGTGCTTTCCTCCGACCATAATCGATGACTGTGAAAATTGCGGTATGTCACCTTTTACAATTTTTGTGATTATATGGTAACCCATATTGAAGAATCATGAACGTTTTTTACTTGCTGCGCATAATGTGACGCAGCTCAACACCAAGAATCTCCGTAACTTTAAGCTGCATCTTGGCCATTTCCTGACACGCACAAACTTCCTCCACCTCGGGAAGAAAGCGACAGCAGGATGCGGCCATTTCAAAGTGTTCGAATGCCTCATCCGTACGGCCTTGGGCGAAGAGTATTTGGGCAATGTCCAAGTGTGCCGAGCTGCAACGAGGATCAACTTTAAGAGCCTGTTTGAAGTGCACAATCGCACGCAGCGGATCGTTCGTGCTCACATAAACGCGACCAGCATTTAAAAATGGCAGAGGACATTGCGGTGATAGCTTCCACGCTGTCAAGAAGTGGCGCATGGCGTTAGCGTAGTTTCCCTGGTCCGCCAGAACTTCGCCATAAAACAAATGTACTTCCGCAGACCCCGGAAACTTTTTTGACGCTTCATCAAAAACGTCCTTGGCTTGGTGCGTTGAACCACTCTTATAAAGTGCCATGCCATAAACCACATGGGTCATTGGAAGGGCGTCTGATCGCGAAATGCAGCGGCGTAGACACTGCACAGCCTCGTGAAAATTGCCATCTAGGAGTTTCATTTGCCCAAAGTGTAAATGCACGTCGGCTTCATTTGGATCCAGCTCCATTGCTTTAGAAAAACATAAAATGGCTTCGTCCTTTTCACCGATTTCTGCCAAAAATCCACCCTTTTTTATCAACGAGTTCACCAGCGTCTGCTGCAGTTTCAGGCTCTCATTTATGACCTCAATTGCAGTGTGGACGTCACCCGCTACATACAACAGTGATGCATACAGGTTTAGTGCCACCGCGCGCTCCTCCGTCGTCAGATCCTCACTTGCCATGTCCTTGGCAACGACCGTCCAGATGTCTCTTTGTGCTGCACCATACATTTTACGACGTTTATTGTAAATTGCGCGATGGAGTAGCGTACGTGCGCCTAGTTTGCTTAGCACGACTTCTTCCTTTTCTGCAATATCGATTGAAACATGCGTGGTGTAATCGGCGTCATGCTCGAATGACTCAAAGTAGCTCTCAACTAGCCACGCAGACGGCATCTCATGAACCTTTTCGATTTTGGCAAACAATGCTTTTGCGACACCTCGACCAACCCGGCGCGATGTACGATCAATGGATTCAGCGAGATCCGCTGAACGTGAACCGTCAAGAATAAAGGATGACACGTAGTGCTGCATCGCTGCTTCAGGGTGCTCGCTTTTGTCCTCGACGCTTCCTAGACACTCGTATGCACCGACGCTGTACGGGTTGAGTTTGAGTGCGATCAAGGCTTCAGTTTTTGCACGACCCAGCTCGTTCATATCAATGAAACACCTAGCACGGCCAATCATTGCGTTCTCCAAATCCTTGTGGTACAGAGGAAGAAATTCAAATGATTTGGAGTAGGCTGCAAGCGCTATTTGGTAACGCCCTGACCGTCGAGAAATGTCACCGTCGAATATAGCCTCACGAACACCTGCCAATTCATCCACAAGAATTTCGTCCTTCTTCAAGGACCGATTGAGAAAGTGTTCGAGAACATAGAGGGTCTTTCCCGTCTTAGAGTATTGCTCTTGTTTTTTGTCATGCAGCGTCTCGCACAGCGCCTGAAACTCAATCTGGCTGAGCTCGCTCGGTTCGGTTTTTATAACCTCCCAAGAAGCTTCTGCAACAGCCTGAATAAATGACTTGATCTGAAGTGAACTCAGTTTCTTCTGCCTAGCATTCAAGTTCCGCGGGATATAACCCAACGCGTAAACCACAACTAAATACATACAATCCCAGCCTTTATTCCGTTTCTGACCAGCATTGGCATTATTTTTGCTATTCGTTTCCACGTTTGTAGTCTGTGTCGTTTTCTTCGTATCAGCTTTTACATTGCTAATATTATGCTGCCTCGACGTGATATTTTTATCACTAACCACCTCCGCGCTGATATCCGTCTTACCGGCGACTACCGTGTCTTCATTGACTGACCTAGCTTTGTGACTTCTCCCTTCCTCGTCAAAATCGACGTTGTTCTCCTTCGTGTCCATCTCATTCTGCTCTTTCATTCGCTTTTCGTTCTCTTCGATAATTTTCAATGTATCGTCACAATCAAGCTCAATCTCATCGTCTCTTATCTCTTTTTCGTCACAAACACTTTCAAACGCCCAGGGCGCTCGTTTGTTCACCAGCTCAAGCATTTTCTGTTCAAGATTCGTTGCTAGCGCCACTATTTGATCCTCAGTGAGGTCTGGCACTTCAAGTACAGATGGCGGTGTGTACAGAACATCCCACAATTCGTTAATAGCTTTGATACAAGAGGTGCAATCGCGGTCATGGTTTTCCTCTACCCATTTATGGACGCTCATAGCCATCGCGCCTTCATTAAGCCCTTTCTCCTGATAAATAAGATCAGAACACACTTCAAGAACGTCTTGAAAAAGCGACCCGCATTGTGTTTTCACCTCCTGCAGCGAGCGTTTCTCATGTAGGGAGTCAGGGAATCCAAAAGGTGCCAGTACGAACGAGACAACGCGAAAGATTGTGCGTGACACGTCCAAGAATTCGACTTTACTAATTGGTGATGGCATATCAAAGTAGCGACGACCGTCTTCAACCCACACAATCTCTTCTTTGTCAACTAAATTTTGAGTCATATCTTCTCGTTTCATGCTTGCCTTTCCGCTGTTGTATCCGTTATAGGCCTTTTCAAGCTTTATTCTGATCTTCTTATCATCATCCGTAACAAGAACCTCATGTAGCTCTGAAGACAAGTCGAAGCCGCCTTGCTCGTTTTTGTACAACAACTGACCTTTGTCATAAAGGTCGGTTGTGTACGAAGAAGGAAATAACTTAACAAACCGGTCTGTCAGTGGCTCTGTGCAAAATGTAATTTCAGCTTGCTGACCCCCAAGTAATAATGCAGTGGCAACTGCGGCAGCTTCTTCCGGTTTGCTCGACACAAGGGCGATAGGCCTGTTTGGATCAATGCCATCTGCTCTAAACACATCCCGCAGCTCGCTTACAGATAGCATAAACGCTTCTTTGCCGACCGTCGGTAGATCACCGGTGTCCGCGTCCTCTGGATTTCTACTTGCAGTAAAAATATTTGCGAACGGCACGTTTACTGCACCATTAAGATGTCCTGATACCTCGTTGTCGTTAGCTAGGCCCAAATACTGAAGTGGTTCGCGGCAGTCCACAATTTGTACTGTGCGATCCAGTTTATCATTTTTGGCCAGCACCGCCTGGACAAACTCCTCTGCGTTCAAAACCTTGACGATACCAGACTTGGGTGACTCTAGCGCAGTCTTTTCACATTTCAGTAACTCCACGAGCGAGAAGCACGTCTCCATGGATAAGTCAATCGCAAAAACCCGAACTTCGCTTTCTCCAACCGGTTGTAGAAGCCAATGCAGCATACAGGCAACCGCTAATTGGTGTTTGGTGTTTTCAAAGCCCATAAGAGTACCGATTTCGCTGTAATTCTCGCAAGCTACAGCTTTAAGTTCACATGTATGTGCCACTTGTTCTATGCACCTTTTAGTACTTTGGGATACCTCCGGTGTGTCCGAGACGCGTACTAGTAGTTGTTTTCGTGCCATCCCCATACTGTGATAAGAGTGGTGGTGCTGTACAGGAATTGTACTGGTAACCGGTATCAAATCGGTAAAGAAAGCACAAAAATCGCCCTCACGGCGGTAACGCAACTCAGACCCTTTCGAATACTTGGTGGGAGAGGAATAGCCGAACGGCTGGCTGATGTCAGCCCCCTCACCATCCGTAAAGAAGTCGGTGACTTCTTGTCTACCAAACTGAGTGTCCTACGACACGTTCGCGATGCGATGGCTGCAAGACCTACAAAAAGAATATGCAGGTGAAAAAGGAAGAGGCAAACTGGAAAGCTTTAAGGTCGGGGATCACCTCAGCAGCGTGTCGCACGGTGTCACACAGATCCAATTGTGCACGATCACGCGCACGCATTTCTTCGCTAGTGATGCGAAACGAATTTAAGTCAAACCTAGAGTCGTGTGCACAGCGCGCCCGTTATCGAGCATTGTTGGCGAGTCAATCGACGCTCAAATGCAAGAGACTAGGTAATTGCTGTTGGACTAGACCTGGGTGCCCGTTGCCCGATAACGGGCCTGACGGCAGGATCTCCCCAGCATCCGATCGTACGTTAAGTTTTGCTGGCGACGCGTTTACATTTCTGTTGTAGCCCCTTGAAGACCCCGGAGCGCTACCCTGAGATAACGGTGGATTCGAATGGTCTTGGATACTCTGCTGAGCATGCTGCTGCATGTGCAGAGGCATAGGGGATAAGGTCATTCCAGTGACAGATGAAGTAGTTGGATAACTCGCAGCGGCCGGGGTCACTTCGTTTGCGTATAGGCCACCTGATGGGATCGAGTTGACCGTTAATGTAGCATATTTCACCAATATAAATCACGTGGTGGTTTGCTCTTAATTATGATGACGGATGGCCAGTAGGGCGATTCGACTTTGCGCTTGCGCAAAGATCTACGAAACAATTTCTCCGATGCGACAAACGGAACTAAAAATGCTCGTCATGTAATCAGCAGCTGAAAAATAAAGCTAACTGCGTTTTAGCGCTTCCAGCGTCCCGGAATTAATTCACTCGTCAAATACAAAGCGAGGAGAAATTAAATAGAAAAAGGATCCCGCAATGCAGTATCAATATATTTAGAGTGAATCAGAGTTTCTGTGGAGCAAAAGCTTGGATTCTACAAATTCGCATAAACCACTACACAGAGGATGAGCTCATCGCGCACGATTCAGTTCCGAAACTGAGAGTCGCTAGCACTTTAGAATTTAGCCTAGCAAAACTACTAATAATTTAACGATATATCTGATAAAACTCTATACAGTAGAACCTGTCTAAATTGAGCTGTACGATTCAAAACCTTCTATAAATTCAATAAAAGTCATAGCCCCTAGTCGGGACGCATACAAAAATTAAGAGCCCTCTGAAACCTAAGAATAAGATCCGACTGATCCCTGTGAGGATGGACCAATTCTCCTATTTGACTCATGGCATGCAGGACGGGCTTATAAAGCAGATGTTCCTGCTTCGCCCTGAGGGCGTGCAGCACCTTGCATCGCAATGACCTGAGGCGATGAGCGCGCGACTAGAAGCGTTTTCAACTATGGAAATGCTCTATTAGAGCGCTCACAGCAGAAGCTGTCAGCGCTGACTGCGTATTGTCGACGACGGATGATTCCTCCCGATCCTGGACGCTCATATCGTCGATTTGAGAGCGGTGCTCGAGTGCATGCGCACGAATTAGCTATATGTTAATGCCGATAAGTGCATCCTTGGCGCAGTAGAGATTCCCTTTTTAGGGTGTTTCATTGGGAAGCGTGGCCTTCGAGCAGATCCCGCTAAGTTCATTGTGGACTGGTCGGTTCCAAAGAACCAAAAGGTCTTGCGCAAGTGGCTTGGCCTCGCCAACTACTTGGGCAAGTATAGCACGAATCATACGGAAATGGCTTGACCATTGTCTAATCACCTTGGGAAGGATACAGAATGGGGTTGGGGCACCGAACATCGGGAGGCTTATGATGGGTCAATGACAGCCTCCTCCATGCACCAATACTGGCTTTGCCAGACCTCAATCGTTCTTTTAGTGTCTGTGACGCTTCAGACTTTGCCATCGGCTGTGTACTGTGACGCTTCAAACTTTGCCATCGGCTGTGTACTGCTGTAAACAGACGCCGAGGGGTGATATTTGTTGAATCTCGCCAGCTTAAGGCTGCGGAGAGGAACTGCCCAGTCCACGACAAGGAATCACTTGCGATGAAGTATGCACTTGTCACTTTCATGGTGCACCTGCTTGGCTCAAAGCCATTTGTGATCGAAACAGATTATGCGTCATTACGCACTGCGACTTAGTCGCCCTCCCTCTCGCAGAGAATGACCATGTGGCTCTCATTCCTTACAGAAAAAACTTCGAGGCGAAGTATAAGCCAGGAAAGCAGAATGCTTAGGCAGATGGGATATCACAAAGACAAAGCCATAAGCTTGCTCATATTACGACGGTGACGCCTTCAGTGAATGATTTGATCCGTGCCGCATACGCGGATGATAAAATGCGTTTAGCGCTGCTACAGGCTCTCGGGAGCAATTGTTTGGAAACTCGGACAGGAAATTGCGGGCGTGTTTGTGCGCACGGTTACACCGATATTCGTTGAATAACGGGTTGCTGTATTATAGCACCAATTCAGCGGATACTCCACGTATTGTAGTTCCTCACGATGATGAGATGAAACACCGAATACCCCACTCAGTGGTTATCTCGGGCGTGAGAAGACCTACAACTCTTGGAGTTGCCAATATTGGTGGCTTAAGCTGTTGTGCACGTATGAGACGTGTCAGGGGTTGAATCCCTCTCAGAACGCGGCGGTGCCGCTGGCCAGCTTACCGGTACTCTCCGGCACTTTATTGAACTTAATCCCTTAAGCTGTACTCTGGGAACGAAAAGACGCTTTTTCTTGCCCTTGGGGAATTGATTACTTTGCCTTCTTTCCCTTAGCTCTTGTTTTGGTTAAAACCAGTGCTTAATTATTTACTGTCAGAGGTTCAAAACCCAGAAATGTACTTTGCTACTAAAGCAGCGTCAAATGAGTTGGTTATTAAAGGAAGTCATGCCCCTGTTGTGGTTTAGAATACTGTATAAAGGGTTGATTGTCTTTTTCTTTTTGGTTTTTGGGAACTATGTGATTTCCAAGTACAGTACTTTACTATATGCTCAAGCCCCTTAAAAGTATTCTAGAACATCAACGTTTTCGCCCTGAGTGAAAATAAATAGGTATGCCACCACGGATGGAGGGATGGTACTGATATATCTTGTTTTTTCTGTTGGTTTATTCCTGAATCAGATCTATGTACTCTTCTCGTTAGAAATGTAAATCATTACAGTATATTCCTTTTCCCTCCGTGCAGCGGAACTGCCGTAGCTCTTTGCTTAGAGGAAGCTAAGCTAAGGTCACCGGCCTTACGTTTTTTACAAGAACCAGTACGAGTGTAGCGGAGCGCTCAGAGAGTACTGAAAACCTTAACCAGGGTACAGGGACTCTTCCGTTCAAATTTGAAAGCTGTATTTAATTGTTTTAGTTGAGGCAGTGCCGCAATATCTCAAACCTTAGGTTTTCTTAATTAATATAGTAATGCCTAATTAATATAGTAAAGCCTGGTTAATGTGCATTACTACTGGCAATCCTCCACGTAGTGGCTTCTTGTTACGGTGTAGCCACACCACTATGTGACTACACCAACTTGTGTGATCTACATTTATGTACGGTCACACCATCCTGTGCGACCCGCTCTTTCATTGTGACCCCGTTACACTCTCCCCCACTAAAATTGCGAATACCCCCAATTCTCATTTAATGATCGCCTCATACGAGGCTCGCGTGTCTGAGACACCTTAACGTTCTTATAATCAACTTTCGACATTCACCGGTCTATGAGCCCTGTCTACGACACGCAATGCAACCAGCCTAGCCCCGCGGACGAAGCCCTTCTTTTTCTTCTGCACAGGGCGCATCTCCCGACAGTTCGTCTGTGGCTTCGCGGGAAGCACATCCCACGCCCTCGGCAACCGAGCGCAGCCAGCATCTGGCGACGGATTTCCTCGTCAAGGAGACGGTGGAATACGACTGCGATTCGGACACTCCTTTCCCATCATGGGATGATGAGGAAGATTAAGTGCACCAACGGCGCGACTTGAACCCAGCTCAAACCCTACGGACACCATGTCCGATTTCCGACCTCTCGGCTCTCGGGGAGAGTGGTATTATTACCAATCGCCTCGACGAGGCACAGGAGCAGCAGCTGACGGCTACTCACAGGGTGGTTCTCCTGCGCTCGTATCCACATTCGGTTTTAGACCCTCGTGTGGAATACAGCTTTCGCTCGGCGGATATCGCTATTGAAGCGAAAGACGCGATCTCTTGATCGTTAGGCGTTTACGTAGGGTTACTCTTCGGCAGCATAATTTACGTATATGAAACCATACACCAACTAAATATTTATATTTGGATACCTGTAGGAACAGCAATAATCATTGTAGGTTATTGTTTCGTCATTCGGCCTTTTCACAATTTAGTAGGATCTGTTCGTAACTCGAAATACGATCTTACGAACTGCGATTCGAACAAAATGAAATTAAATACTGCTTTAATTTCAGGTCTTCTGTTCTGTTCTGAACAGTAGCACTTTGGCAGCAAATTATTCCCATGTGTATCAACCGTAGATGAGAATATCAACGGTATCAAACTAATTCATACTACTAGCACTTAATAATCCTTTTTTTTCACGTAGATGCATCCATTGCAAGCAGTGGCGTCTTAACGTGCTCCATTAGTGCCTCCAGCTTATGCTCCGTCTTCTTTCGCTTATTCTGTTCTTCACGGATCCAACCCATGTACAAATCATTCAAACTCTTCAACTCGCGCTCCAGTTTGACGCGGCGCTCCTTCTCATGACTCAGCCACTCGTTCACGTCTGCCGCTCCAATGGCATCTTGAGACTGTAGCACATGAATCTCGTCTTTATCCTTGACATTGTCGGACTGCTGGCGTGACGATAGTTCCACCTGTAGCGAGGCTTTTTTGCGGAGCCACGCTCGCTTCATGCGACGCGCTTCTGCCACAGCTGAGGTCGTGTCTGGGACAAACATTTCGACGCACACCTTGACTGCAATCATTGCGTGCTCCATTAGTGCCACAGCTATCAGCGATCCGGCAAAAGACATCTTAGGAAAGAGTCTTTTCAGGAAACCTGAATGCAGTCCAAAAATTGCACAATTGGTCACCACGGACAGATAGCCCAGCGCGCTGAAGGCATAGTACCAGGTCCCAATGCCTTGTGTGGGCGTTCTGTGGCTCCGGCGAAAAGTGACACAGAGTTTGAAGCCGTCACTCCGAATCTCCATTATGTTGTTGCAAAGACTCCAAAGCGAGGCGAGAGGATATGCTGCTGCGAACAGCGTTACCTGTCTAGAAAAGGCAGAATTAGTTCAAGCAACATTTAGATCTATGAAAATTGAATTGGTCGCGTACCCAAACTGCACGAACATTTCCAAATAGTCATCAAATGTTCCGTCATATGAGGGGAATAGAAGCTCTGCATCCACCTCTCTCACGATTGCATTTTTCTTTCTCAATTCTTTCGCCAGCTTCCCAGCTTCAGCCTTTAATGATGATCTCTTGCTTATAAATGGTACCAGTTGCTCCTGCAAATTACCTAATAGCTGTCTCGTGATCAGCAAAGAACTTAATGTTTGCTCTAGCAAAACCATATCGCGAGTCTTGAATGCCACATAGAACAAAAACCCGAAGTTGTTTACGAAGTAAAATAAAGCCAATTTGAGCACGCGAGCATTTGCAAACTAATGACAAGACAATTGTTCATTCAGTACTACATACTCAGCAAATCACAAGAAAAATAACTTACATCACTCTCGGTGCGGTGATTTTCAAACTGCGTCAAAAAAGTCGCAAGCTCCGAGTATTTTGCATCCACATACAACACCACTACGGAATAGATTATGGAGGGTACAAGATAGACATACTCCCAAAATCCATCCCACCCTGTAGCAGGAACGAATGCAACTGCAAACCATTCTTCCATGTAGCAGTATAAGATCATCAACACTGTGACTCCAGCCATCGCAGCAATTGTCGCTAAAGTCGTCAATAAGTAGCGTTTGGCGCGGCTCTTAGATGAGTAAAAGGTGTAGTAGCATCCTTCAATCGAGTCAAAGCGCTTTTCACCAAAAAATTCTGGGCGTGTGGGCTCCAGAACCAACGAATCGGACGCAGAAATGCCCCAATCGTTACGCAGAGTATTTTCACGGCGCTTCCAGAATTTCAAAAAGGCTGTGGCCCAACTTGTTACTAAGAGCGAATACACTCCCCGGCCATATGCTGCATAACTTGGAAAGAAATCAAGCACAAAGGTAAGAAGTCCCATTGCTGCCAGTGGCATTAGCCATTGTGTGTACATCCCCAGAAAACCAAAATAAAAGCCGACTTCATCTCCGAAGTACGACCGCACTGTATATAGCGGCTGTGGGTGTTTCCAATCTTTCACCCACATCTCCACCAGCTCACGGCGCTCCTTGTGATCGTGCAAAGGAAAATGGTCCATTAAAAGCTTCGAATGCATTGCTTGCTGAAGGAGAAGTCCATGTTCCTCGTCTTGAAATGGATGAGGTATCGTGGCCACATCATCTGCGATCTCATTATCGAGTCCAGTCGAATGATTGTGGGTGATTTGGACGTTCAACCGCCCTAGCTCAAACATGATAAGATCGATTCGGTCTCCCGAGCAGAAATGCTCGGGCACTGGTTCTTCACTCACGTCACCGTACAAAACTCGCTCTTTCTTTTGCTTAATGGCCATCAGTGTTGCATGTGTTGCACCCACAAGATAATATGTTATCGCACGAGTGTTTTTCGACTTATCGCCGACTTCTGCTTGCGTCTCCAGTCTTTTTGTCTTGGGTGTGATGATCAGGTGGCTCTGCTTCTTGACCATTTGCACGAAAAACTCCACTGTGTTTTGAGAGAACATTTTTGTGTCAAAACACAAAACGACATCTAGCTTATGCTCAGTATCTCCTTGTGGGGCGATTTCCTGCCGTGATCCCAGCAAGATACGACAGTTGATATCAATAAATTTTTAGAATATCTGAATGATACGCACCAATGGCGTGGCCACGACAAATCTAGTAAGAGCATAGGCACTCGCGAGAAACCCAGCACCTCCAATAGCACCCTTTATCACTGCTTCTGCTATAGTCGACATTGCCGTTGCGCAGTACGTTTACAGCTTTGAATTGATCAACTTCTTCCAGACTTTTTTATATGACTTTCTAGGTAAGACAGCCAATACTGAGGCTCTGTGGAAGCAAATTGGTATACCTATTGGCCACTTAACATTCTTTATGTGAGGCAGCCAATAATGAGGCTTCGTGCAAACAAATGGTGAACCTAATGAAATATAATCTATGTCTTTGCCCAACCTGTGTATGGATGGTGTTAGTTGTAAAGTTGAACTCGATAAAAACTAGTGGGCTCACATGAGCATTATGCTCTACTGCGTCTCTATATATGCTCGCTGGTTTAAGTTGCCTAGTTGCGTAAACCTCAGTATACAATGAAAATGAATTATTTTTTACGTACGTAAAAGTCAACTGATTCGAAACGCGTGATATCTATCTCACTGTTGCTATAGATCGCTTTTACTTCAATCGCGTTTTTTTCCAAAGAATAATGGATGGGATGCGCGTGCAAAGCAAATGAAAGCTGAAAAGGGCTCAAGACCCGCGCCACCATGTGATCAATCACATCATCTGAAATTTATCAGATATCAAATCTAATAAAGTTCTTTTTAATATTTTTGGTGGTCAGTTATTCAAATTTTATTCCTGCTATATCCAATAATTATTGAATAGTAATTGCATTTGGTTTGTGCATTTCTAATTCCCTTCGTAAGATTTACGAAACAAGATTCTCTCGGCTTAAATAAAAATTATCCTTTTCCCACAGGCTAGTGTCGAAGCAGCACCTGTCTATCCTTCATATATATTAAAATACGTCACCAGCCACTCACCCCTATTGTAGATTACCCCTCTACTATTGCCCTGGATCAGTTTTCGACCATTGTAGTCGTTTTCTAAACCCGATGTGGTAAGCGTGATCGTTCGGCAGAACCACAATAGGGAAACGTTACTCTTTGGAGTACACTGCTAGTCGCAAGTTTTTTAGATGTGGTCATCCTGGTCACAATGCACTTACTTGCAATGTGCAAGAGGCTTGGCAACAGCAAATTTCTTTCTTAATTGGGATATATTTGATTTATTGATCAATGGATGAATTCGGGGGGCGAATAACCAAGATGGTGGGCCATTCCTTGTTCGAGAATATATCACAAACGAGATTGTCCGGATACGCTTCTTCCTCAGTTACCAATTTCGAAATACGATTAATGTTTTGAGTCTTGAGCGAAAGGATACGCTTAACATAGCTATGTTGAGCTGTCCATATACAAAGCAGGGATAGAAAGAAAACAAGTTCTGCTTCAAGTGTCTTTGTGCCTTGCCGATGATCATTGCAACAGCCAGTTGCACAGGGAACTGTTTGCGCCGAACTCAAAAAAGAAAATTACGTAAATCGCCGCAGCTAACGATTGCAATTTTTCAAGTCAGCACATGCTAGTTTTGGCGCTCACCTTGTTGCGCAAATAAGGTGTCCAGTTGTCAACTCAAAGACGCTATTACTTACACAATCCTAGCTCTATGCCTAAATCACAATTGATCTCCTTTTTTACGCATCAAATTTGCGGTAGAATCCGTTGAGGCAAGTATTATGCAGTATTTCGCACTCTAGAGCGTTTTGATAGCCTGTGGCGACTGAATCATTGATAAAAGTCATGAGATTGCTGCAGCCTCATTAAATAGACACACTTCAGCACTTATATTCTCGATTAAAAATATCATTTTGAGAATTCGGAAGATGCAGACGGTAATGGATTCATTTTCAGGTGATCGCGTACCAGTATGAAGAATACGACCCCTTCTTGTGTACCATTCGTTGACGCAAACCTTTATCATAAGAGCTTTATCTGCTTAATAGCACGGCAACTCTGTCGCAGTTGGAAGCATATGTAGCCAATTCCATGGCCGAGTCGTAAAATCACTGCATTATCTGCGAGGACAGAAAACATGTAGTTTGTCTTTTCCTACCCGAGAAAATTCGATACGCTTGAAAATCTCATGTCATTGCTGCTTTCGAAAGGGTCAAGGGAATGTTGGCCCACGGATTAGAAGCGATAATTGCTTACCTTAAGGCGTACACTAGACACTTCCAGAAGCGTCTCAAACGGGTGTTGGTGGGAGCATGGAGAACTCCTCTGTGAGATTGCTGATGTTGACGTTCACTTCTAAAGCCTGAATAGCATGTTTCACCGCCAGTGCCAAAAAGAGTCAAATACTAATTGAGACGATCACCACTTTCTAGTAAGCTTTGAACATGTAGATAGATATCAGATGTATATTTTGACTGTAATGGCAAATGAAGTCAGCAACCCCCAACTGAATGACAATTTTTCTCGCTTGAGGAATGCGCAGAGCTGTAAAGAATGTAATCGTGCGCGTGCTTTCTCATTGCATAGGGTTAAGTCACACAACACTGTGAAATATGTCGGTAGATTCACCGCCACACAAAGAGTTGTCAAACGATAGTTCTCGTCGTTTAAGATTGTGGAGGGCTTTATCAAGTCAACTCTCCGCTCCTTTTTTTCATCGCATCGGATTCAACTAATGCGACTTAAATACGATGTAACATGTCCATGAATATGTTCCAGACTCCACTTTGTATGAATACTGGATCCACGTTTAAGTGTTGCAGGCATCGGATGTGTTGAAGAAACAAGATATTGAAATTATAATCTGTAACAGTACACCCTTCAACCCCTATATATACCGGTATACTTCATACACCTACACTATAAAAACGCATATTGCGTATTTTCTCGGTATATCAATCTTTCTGTGGGGGCAATATCTCAAAAGATCAACATTTAGTATGTGCACAGTCGGGACGATGCATCCACTACATACTTCATTTGACTCACTCCTTGGAGACTCGCGACCAGTCAAAGGAAACCATGACCGTCGCTCAGCTAGTGCACATGCTATTATGTGCGATGCTTTCAACTAGATTCGTGCTGGCCGATCTCGAAGATTTAAGGTGAGATACTCATATGACATGAAAGCACAATTTATCCTTGTAATTGCTTTGTTAATACTAGTAAGCTCCGCCGCCTCGTGACACTCTCAAGACACGGCAGTCGGGCTCCAAACAACATAGTCCGGTTCATTTGCCCACGTAATAAACGAAATCTGGACGCATACGAAGTGCCGCTTACGCAGCTAACGGAAATTGGTATGAATCAGCTTTTAGCTGTTGGTGAGCACATTCGTAGAACTTACATGGTGGACGAGCTGGAGCACGAAGAAGCTTTCTTGTCGCGCTCGCTTAATGGTGTCAACCACTCGCATTTTGAAACGTATTTTCGCGCTGACGCAGCAACGCGGTGCGCGCAGAGTGCCACGGCGTTGGGTTACGGCTTGTACCCAGACGGAACAGGCCCCCATGGTTTTCCACACCAACCTGTGCCGATAACCATGCAACTTGTAGAAAACGAACATGCATTTGCGGCTCCAAAGGGTCCTTGTCTTAGTACCTTGGAGGCGGATCTAGCTGTGTATGCTCAACATCGCGCTCCAGAGCTTTTTGACCATTATCGCGATGTCCTCGAACAGGTGGGAAAGGCCTGTGGTGTTTTCATCGAAGACATCCCCTACATTCCTGGTGGTGAAGACGCTGTGTTGGGTGTAAAAGATTTAGCTGATATGTTTGTCTTTGACCGCGACGAGGGTCTGCCTCTTCTCGAGGGTGTGACAGTCGAAGCGCGCGAAAAATTAAATCAGCTGGCGTTTACGAACCTCATGGAGCGATATTTCTCGTCAGACCGCAAAGTTACATACTGGGTGGGAGGTTTCAGTGACTTGCTGCTGAATACGCTTCACGACGGAGCTGTACCGACGGCTCCATCGGTTGAAGATTACCGCTTCTTCTCTTTTCATGGACATCGTGAACTGCTTCATGGCCTGGGTATGATGCTGGGCTGGGAATTCCACTTTGAAGGACTACCGACAGCTCTCAATGTGTCAGCTCTTCACCCAGGTACCACCATGTTTTTTGAGCTGCGAGCACGTCCACCCACTAATGAAGAGGCCCGGGAGCAACCTAAAGCGAGTGAAATTTATTTTCTACGAACATACATATGGTCGCCTCTGACAAAACGTGAGCAGATTAGGCTGACAAAGTGCTCGGTCGCAGATTGTCCACTAAATGAATTCACTCGGATTATCACGGATCACATTGCGAAAACGGACCCATGGGAGACTATCTGTAATTATAAAAGGCCGGTCGTTGGTCAAAGCCAGGTGGCATTATCGCAGGAGCCTTTCGTGGAGAGATTCAACGGCTCCTCACATCTCTCTTCTTTAGTTCTCATCGGAGTTGCTATTGTGGTGGCACTAGCACTTGCAACCTTCAAGGTGCACTATGCTCGCTGCCGCGGTTACACGATGGTCTAGCGTATTTTAGAAAATACTTGAGAAAGATTGCCAGAGCCTACCGTAGGTCTGAAAAGAGATTTGACATCTACAATTCTACTCGCTATTGTGATGTTAATGAAGTTGTAGACTGAACAACAATATTTGTTTTGCTTTCGCCACGATAATATCTGACGACACTCAACAATATATTTATTGCTCACATTGTACTTTTAGAGCTGCAGCGGTTTATCGCATAATTAGTAAGGAAATGGCTTAGCATGGTCTTGATATGGCGAAGATAGGCAAGAAAAGAAATTCTTCGAAATGCTGGATCATGCAATGACTTTGTCATTGCAAAGCCAGAGCTGCTTAAATGCTTTAGTTTGAGTCAGAGAGAGATTTACAATGTTAAGCAAAGTGTGCAGGCCAAAAATCAGATTGTGCTCGCAGGAGCAGCATTTTTGATATGCTTCTCTGAAAAGCATTGACTGACCAGTGCCATTATGGCTGATGAATTTACAGATATGCACCGAAATTAGTGCAAAGCATACCGACAAGGCATGGCCCATCAAACAAAAAGGATGTTGAGGTGCGACGGAGGAGACGGCCTCGCAGGCTGCAGGAGAAGTTCTCAGGTGAGATCCAATTTTGACTTCTCGATTCCGAGCCGGCTATTTGTGATACTTTGGCCTATTTCCGTCGCATCAGAATTACCTCAGAACGGGGATGATGGAGACTTTGTATAAAGGATCGTGTGGAACAGCTCACAATACACTAAGTACTAGTACTTGGTTACTTGATACACTCTAAATTTGCTCTTGGGTGAGGCATACGAGGCCATCCTCGGTGCGCAACTTAACGCTGACTTGTAGAATTGATACTTCCGTCTTGCGATGTTCACAGCAACTCCGTTGCATTTTATCTAATTTTACTGTAAGTTGGAACACGAGCTGCTCAGATATCAGCCATGCTTAAATATCTCATGTCTTTAGTGAGCCCGAGAGATAACCCCCTTGGACACCGTAGGGCCGGAAGCAGTGACTGATCGCCGGGACGTTCACCATTAATAAGAATACACGGGAAAGACACCTACAGACACGGATCAATCAGAAAGTTTGGGATAACTACCGCGTTCTTCCACGTGACCGCTTTTACTAAGTATCTGACCCACGGAGAGCAGGAAAAGAGAAAACTTTACTCGTATCTCAAATTTATATGCAATACTAGACATCCTTCATTCTATCAAAAGTCTCATACTTTAGTTGGCGATTAAGCACAACATTCGAAACTTGGACCAGTGCTCTCCGTTCCGCACGGATACTGTAAGCTAATCCGAAGTTTGCATTTTCGATCCCTCGATACCGACGGCCAATTCCCGACAGAAGTACGTCGTATGTCAAATCACGATTCTCTTGAATAAATCAGGTCTTTTAACGGCTGCACGAAGCCGGGGGCGTTGATCTTAGCAACCACCAACCTTGGCTGTGAGCTTCCTCCTTTGAGGAGTTGCCGGCAATTTAAGGCTGGGTCTCAATTTGACCACAACCTTCTCGAGGTACAGTAATATCCATTTCTTTCCCAGTAGGCCGCAACGTTGCTATTGTAATTCGACCTTTTCCCACGAGGGGTTCTGTCGATCGACTTTGCGCGGGAGCTCAACCCTTCGGGCATATCAGTTGAGAGGGAAGAAAACACGCGAAGCAGATATGATTTGCACTTTTGAAGATGATACACCGACTGAACCTTTCAGAAGCTAAGGGTTTTTTGCTACTCTTCCTCAACATGGCTGTGATCTATCGCATCCAGTGCACTCATAGCGCCTTTATTCCCAGCACCTAATCCGGTTCTTGCGGTACAGAAGTTGTGGATCGATCTGAATGCGACGTCTACTGCTTTATCCCGAAAGATAGGGTGAACGTGGAAGGTCTTTGAGCGAGCAGCATCCGTTCCGGGGCACTTTCATGATATAATAACAGTGACCGCCCCCGGGCGAGGGTCCGGCGCCATAGCGGCAATCAGATATCTCTACCTCTGGACGTATTCTAGCGGTTTTCTCCCCCTTGAAGGGCTGACAAAAACTGTAACGAACCCGCCTGGTTAGGCGGTGCATTACTTGCGGCTTCTATCGTCTCGAACTATCCCAAGCTGTGAACTCTTCTTTATCCAAGGTATTGCAAATAAGTATCCACTTTTGCGCGGTCTCTAGCTCTGAGACTGCAAGCGCATTGAGCTGTCGGTCCATTTATACATAGGCTAAATTCATGGCTATTTCAGTATTGATTGTCCAAAGGGGTCGTCCTGGCCCTAAAAAAATAGACTATCAATATCAGCGACCTAACGAAGGGCACCATCGGTTCTCCCGACGGCGCTTGCTTAAAATTATGTTGAGATATGCTTCCAGCGCATACCCGTAGCTAGCGATCGCTTCTAGGCAAGCCATGTCCGCCTTTGGACCTCTCAACGCCGAATCTTTGGTACCGTCGGGATAAACAATCGATTTAAGCTTTTCAATGTGTCGAGTTGACACCGTCACAGGAACTAGAATATCCAATAATTCATCTAACAGTTCATGGCTTAGGCGTTGGATTTACTACGATCGCTACTTAGTGTAACGGGGTGTTGTGTACGTGAATGTAACAAACGCACAGAGGTCGGGCTTATGCACTTTAAATAGGAGCAGAATCTAGACATTATTTTGCAAGTCTGTTTTGCTAATGCAAGAGCCTCATCTGACAAAAGCTAAACCTATCCATAAAATTCCCAAACACATATGTAAAGGGAATTACCCGCCCGTATACACACACCTACAGCGGAAGGCTTAGGTCAACTGACATTCCTCATCACGTGTTGCTCACTTCCAGCGAGTTGTTGACTTACGTAAAGAGAAGGAAAGGTGAAGGGACAATTATAGTAACGGCGTTAGACGTACACGGTATCAAAGGATGGGTCACACAATCTTGTGTGACCTTAATGGTGTGGCTACCCCGTAACAAGAAGCGACTACGTGGAGTTGTGCATATTAATTAGGTTATATTATTTGATGAGGAAAGCCTAACGATTCAGATATAGGCTACTTCGCCGCAAAAAACAGATACTACATCTTCAATTTTGAGCGAAAGAGTTTTTTGGGCTTGCGCTAAGGATTTGGGTACTCTTGGAGGTAGCGGATTGCGATCCGCTACACTCATACTGGTTCAAATGTAGAGCGTTAGGTCTGTGAGCTTAGTAAGCATCCTTTAAGGAAAGATCTATCGCGGCCCCGCCGCGATTGGCAGCACTTGTAGTCAATCTACACCTGAGTCGCTACGACTGATCCTCTGTGAAGATGGAGCGATTCTCCTATCTGCATCAGGGCATGCAGGACGGGCTTAAAAGGCTGATGTTCCTGCTTGGCCCTGAGGGCATGCAACACCTTGCATCGCAAGGACATGAAGCGATAAGCGCGCGCCTAGAGGCAAAATCGAGCTATGAAATGCTCTGCTAGAGCACCTAGAGCAGAAGATGTTGGCGTCGACTACATCCATGACGCCACCGTCGACGACATATGACTCCTCTCTACCCAGGTCGCTTTTTGTGAGCGTTAAGACCTTTGAGGGTAAGAATGGAGAGAAACGCTTGCTCTGGGTGCGAGAGACCGAGATGGCTATGGCATCCGCCATGTTTCTCAAGCTCGGGGGTCGAATGTGAGAATGCGCACTGACTTGCGGCACTTCGGCTGAAGTGGCGTTTTTCTCATGGCGGAGCTGAAGTTGCAGCTTTTACGAGCTTCTCGCCGCCTCACTAGGCATATCGCGTGCGATCGCGCTTCCTTGCCACCCGACAGGGCAAGAAAGAGTTGAACGACTCTGTCCAAGAACTCCGTACTCTCATCGCCGGTACGACAGCCGATCCTCTCCCCGAGGCGGTCACAGTGACCGTCTTAATGGAGGACCTCCGCATTGACGTGGCTAGAATGGAAGTCTTCCGTGTGCATCAGGTTTCTTATGAAGAAGCAGTGAATGTGGCATTGACTGCCACATTCAACTTTTAGTCAGCACGACGTGTTTGGAATGCATACTCTCATAGCTCGTCGAGCGAGCCTGAGCCAATGGATTTCACCTACGCTGGGAAAGAGGGGTAGAGCTCCGAGCTGCCAGGCAGCGTTCGATAACTCAACGGTGATTTGTGTGTGGAGATACATGTCACCTTCGAACGGGTTATCCCTTGCAAAGGCGCATCAAGAATTGACGTTCCGCTTCTAACCAATATGGTTTGACGCGGAAAAATGAGAACACCCAGTGGGAGCAAAGCACCCTACTAGGGAGAACTGAGTTCTGTTGAGCCTCACAGAGGTGAAGGACAGCAGAACCCAGCCCCGAAGAGCTGCTTGCTCTTGAACACGAAACGTGTATGTAAGCCTGGCTTGCTGGTCGTATGAAGGGCTTTGATATGCCATGTAAAATCCTTATCGATTCTGGTGCGTCGGAAAATTATGCACGACGCTCCACGATCGAAGGAACTCAGCTGTATGCTGAGGCGTGAAAGCGCGGTTGAGTGACACCGTCACCTGTTGCTTAGCGACGGGGACTTGAGTCACTGTGCCGAGGGTCCCTACGGACCTCGGTGTCAAGTATCATGACTTGAGCGTGTGGAACGCTGTGTAATCTTAGACTTGGATGCAAGGTATGACCTTATCCTTGGTATGGCATGGTTGGAACACCATGATCCATGGATTGACTGGAGGGCAAAGACCTTGAGCGCTACGCGCACGCCTCCTGTTGGAGCTTTGGTGAGTCATAAAATCACCTCTGGTACGAAACTGAAGCGCTATTTGCGCGGGCACTGGACCGGGACGGTCAATGTGATGAATATCGGAGTATCCGAGTTGGCAAACACCGAAGCAAGGGTCCCGAACATAGCTCGTGGGCTGAACGTGGAGTGGCACGTGACCTGCTGCTCAAGTATTGGCGTAGTCACCGCATGCCCAGAGTGGCATGGTTGGCCAAGGGCCAAGGCATCAAGGGCGAGACCCTTGTGTTGCACGTGTAGAGGCACGTAGCCCCACTGAGCACTGCTCACGTTTCAAAGCAGTTGCTGAATGCCCAG